GTCTGCTGTGTTTCCCCTGTTGCCCCGCTCCTTCGTTCTTCTGCCCCACTCCCTCCATCTCTGACGTTCAGTCTTTTTTTTTCCTCATTCCTCTTGAGCCTCTTCTTTTTTTTTACCCCTGATGACCAGTTAACATCCTCTTCATCACGTCTTTGAGGGTCTGCAGAGACCCCCCCCACCTCCGCCCCCCGTATCTCCTCCTCTACTTCATTTCATCCCAAGTATTTCCTGCAGTACTATATATATATATATATATTTTTTAGATATACATATATATATGTATCCGTACACAAAAGCCACAGTTCAGGTTTTTTTTCTTGTGTGATGATGCAAAGTTGCACCTGCAAAATATTCAGTCATCCTTCAACACAGCTTCTCAGAACCACATACCTGAAAAGTCTAAAGTTTCTTTTATGAGTACCAGGGTCTGCAGTACCAGGGTCTGCAGTACCAGGAGTTGCAGTACCAGGGGCTGCAGTACCAGGGTCTGCAGACCCCCCCACCTCAGCCTGTAACTTGGTCTGATTTTAAAACAACAACGAAACCAGAAACAACCGACCGTTTTGATGAGCTGAAAAAAAACAACAATTGAATGAACTGTTGTGGACTGTGGCTCTGTGGTCGGGCTGGATGAGGACTGAAATAAGAGAGAACTAGGTCAAAACTCTGTCAGTGTCCACAGAGGCGTGAAGCCATGGCAACCACGGCTGCAGATGGACGAGGAGGAGTGGTGTGAAGGTGGACATTCCTGTGTTCTCTGATCAAAGGACGAGAGGACAAAACAACAACGCATGGTTTCATGTTGACTGAAAATCAACCCAAATGCCTACAAGGATGTGCGGAATTTTCCTTGACTGCGTCTTCCAAACCAGAGAAGAAGAAAAAAAAGAAAACCCCAGAAAGTTATGCAGCGTAAGAAGAGGAAACAGAACGAAGAATGAAAGTGATTTTTAATTCGGTCGGACACAACGACCACTCGCTGCTACCAGCCAAACATACTGTCACTCAACAAGTGACACCTCTATTTGAGATCCCAGGGGGAAGGTTATTTTGGTCGCACACTAACACAAACACACACACAGACAGGTAACCATGGCAACACAGCCCCTGCTCAGGAGCACAGCATTTGGTAACAGGCTGCCACGGCCGATGTGACAAGTTGACAGTGACTCAGCTGTAGAATTTATCATGGTATGGAGAGCCGGGACAGTGATGACCTCACTGGGTTGGCCTCCTGCCTCACCCCCCCTCACCCCGCCCCCCCGTCAGGGACACCAGTCCAACAGAGTGAACACACACACAGAGAGAGAGAGAAGAAAGATGATGCTGCATTCAATGTCCCACAAAAGTATCTGAATTAATGTGCGTCTGTGGTTCTAAGGAAAACTATGTTTAGAACAGGACACGTTGGCCTGGTGGGGGGACAAAAGGGGGGACAAAAGGGGGGGGGCACCAATCACAAGGAAACAGGACGCAGCGACTTCAGAATGTGCAGCGTGCAGCCACAGGTTGGTCAGGTTTTAAACCGGGTGAGTGTGCACAGAGCAGGGCTCCAGCGGGTCCGACCTGCGGAGGCCGCGGGCCTCAGGCATGTAATAACAGGGAGTCACTCAGAACTGGAGCTGTGCAGCTGCAGCTGTGGAGGTCGGGCAGTTCAGATGCCCCATCGTCATACGGCGGAGGCAGAAAAAACAAACAAAAAAAAGAAAACACTACGAAAGCTCGATCAAGGTTTTAAGATAAAGTGGAGATTATAGTTTGATTTAATTTCTTAAAAGACTGTATGGCTGTAACTGCGATTAATCATGACTAATTGTGATCAATTATGGTCATGATTAATCATGACTAATTGTTAATACTAATGCTTTTAAAAACAGGACTTTAAAGGTTTGTTTTTTGTCTAAAGTATTTCCTGAATTTCTAATTTACATCAGACTTTTGTGCTTCGACTTTTTGACCATATCAGTTTAGACAAAACAGGTAAATGACCAACGTTCGCTGATACTTTAATCCTATTTGTTCCCAGTGTCGTGCGGAGGATCTCACTAATTACAGTCCAATTACCAACGCTGGAGTCACATGACTGCAGTGATACAAGCAGCAAACGTGCAGGGACGGATTCATCTCCGTATAAAAGCTGTCATGACGGCAGACTTCTCAGACATGATTAGTGATGTCAGACCCACTCCGACCCCGTGACCTTTCACACAGTTTACACACTATCTTCACACACTAATCTCCAGGGTCATTCAGCCGACGCTTACGCTGCCTGCAAGTGAGCTAAACACGAAAACACACCAAAACAAGAATGGAAACAGAGTCTGCAGCTGAATCTGTGACCTCACGGCTGATGAATACACGACTACGGTGACTCTACCCGCGTTTTTTAAAGAAACCCATGAACAACTGAATAAAGTATTAATTCAACAGAGAGTTTTTAGAGCGCCCTACCTTGGAGCATGCAGCGGTACGCAGACTCGGAGATGGCGTAGATGTGTGGAGGCATCTCGTGTCTCTTCTTCCCTCTGTACATCTCGATGATGTTCTCCGAGTAGATGGGCAGGTTCTTGTAGGGGTTGATGACCACACAGAAGAGGCCGGAGTACGTCTGTGGTCAGGAAATAAAGATTAAAACTCAACAGAAGACGGGGAACAAAAAGGAAAATAAAAAAATAACACGCAACAGGAATTGAAGAAAGACTTATTTAACTACGAATAAGCATTAAAACAAAGTCATTTAAATGGTGTAAGAGGGACATTTTTAGCAGCTTTGTAAAATAATCACTAGCTTTTGATCATATATACCAGGTGAACAGAAAGTGAGCAGAGCTTTTACACCAAGAACACTGTCCTCGACACAGTGATGGACAGAGGGTTGACCACTGGGGTCAGACAGAATATACTGTAAAAATAAAATCTGAAGAACGACCGTGTACTGATGAGAAGAGAGTGAGGGAGGGAACCTCGGTGTTCTGACATGTCTCCTACTGTCTGACTTGTGGTACTGCGTGCGGCTGTGTAATTAGCCTGACGATGTGTGTGTGGTATGAACACAGGCTGAGAGTCCACCAGGCAGCGAGGCCCTGCTGGGGCACAGGCTCTCTTTCATTCTGCAGATGCTATAGGGGGCGCCGTGCATTCTTCCTACAGAAGACACAGCAGTGAAATGACTGCTATAGGGGGCGCCGTGCATTCTTCCTATAGCTCACTCCACACCTGCTACTACAGCGTACAGTGACTACAGGAGCTGACGCACCTGGGGCTTCAGCACAGGCACGAGCACTGGTCGGTGACAGCGTCCTGCACGGCACGCTCAAAGATACGACGCGTATTTAAGACTCAACCAATCAACACCTCAGTTATTCTGTATATGATTGTCCTTCAAACTAGTTTGAAAAACTCTGCTGCAGTATTTCAGTTTACACCGGATTTAGCCGATAAACTTCTTTATTTTTAGTTTATTTTAAGGTTTTGTTCATGTCCAATAACTATCATTATACATACGATTTATATGTATAAATATAAATTATATATGTGTGTGTGTGTGTGTATGTAGTACCACATCTGTAAATGTGAGGCTGTTTCTATGGAGGATTTCAGGCTAAAACTTCAGTTGTTTTACCAGGAGTGGGGTTCGAACCCACGAGGACTAACGTCCATTGGATCTTAAGTCCAACGCCTTAACCACTCGGCCATCCTGGTTGACGACCTCTGACCGGACAAAGGTCGATTGATTGAGGGTTGTGTGTGTGTGTGTGTGTGTGTGTGTGCTGCCCATCGTCCACTGACCACCACATCAGGCTGTTCTGGATTATTTTTGAAAAACATTTTTTGTAAAAAAAAAAAAAAGGTCTATGTTACATGCAAGATTTCCCAGATTTACTGAGCCTTAATTGTTTCAAGACTCGCACTTCCTGGCAGCTCCATCTGGTACACTCCACAGTAAAGTATAAACCAGAACCAGAACCAGAACCAAAGATGAAATATTCGAAAAAGCTGTCCCAAAGTGATTGTTGATGTATGCATAAAAATGCAGACATCTGCTGCAAAACTGAAACTATATTTAAGTCTGGCTGTGGTGGAATGACTCAGCAGACTTTACGTTCAGCGTTTGGCGTTGCATAACAGCTCAGTTTAAACCTCCAGTTAACTGCCGCTCCGCACCGCCGTGACAGAAGGACAGGAGAACAGAGCAGTAGGCAGACAGAACGACGAGCCGAGCGCCGATCCAGCTGACACAGATCCCAGAGGTGGAAAACCAGGCAGAGGCAGAGGTCTGACCAAAACCTGATTCGTGTTCTTCGTCTCCCTGTAATTGGCTGCAAGTACGAGAGGAAGAGCAGCAGAGCTGAGAAAGAGGAGCCGCAGGGAGGAGCAGCTGTGACACCAACTCCCCACTCTCCTTTTTCAAGGCTTTTGAAAAATTAATTACCCCTCATCTGAATGCTGCTGGTGCTGTGAACATGACGGGGAACTCCTCAACGCCGTACACAGACACACAGGCTGAACAGTCACAGGTAAAAGTGATGTCACATCCTCAGACACACCAGCACCTTCTCCTACAAACTGTCCATTTAAACACAATCACGTCTCCGACAAACAACGACACGAAGCTGCCTCAGGGTGGGCTGCGACGGCCGAGTGGTTAAGACGTTGGACTTGAAATCCAATGGGGTTCAAACCCTGCTCACAGCGAATACTGAAGAAAATATTGCTGTGCAGTACATCGAGTGCAATAAAAGGATGAATTGGAACCTGGTCCAGGATGTGTCTGGTTGAGGTTACGTTCTTGAAAATCCCTCAGTAAAATTCTGTAGCAGATTTTAACTGTTTCCAACTATTACAAACACATTGACACAGATCCCAGAGGTGGAAAACCAGGCAGAGGCAGAGGTCTGACCAAAACCTGATTCGTGTTCTTCGTCTCCCTGTAATTGGCTGCAAGTACAAGAGGAAGAGCAGCAGAGCTGAGAAAGAGGAGCCGCAGGGAGGGGCAGCTGTGACACCAACTCCCCACTCTCCTTTTTCAAGGCTTTTGAAAAATTAATTACCCCTCATCTGAATGCTGCTGGTGCTGTGAACATGACGGGGAACTCCTCAACGCCGTACACAGACACACAGGCTGAACAGTCACAGGTAAAAGTGATGTCACATCCTCAGACACACCAGCACCTTCTCCTACAAACTGTCCATTTAAACACAATCACGTCTCCGACAAACAACGACACGAAGCCGCCTCAGGGTGGGCTGCGACGGCCGAGTGGTTAAGACGTTGGACTTGAAATCCAATGGGGTTCAAACCCTGCTCACAGCGAATACTGAAGAAAATATTGCTGTGCAGTACATCGAGTGCAATAAAAGGATGAATTGGAACCTGGTCCAGGATGTGTCTGGTTGAGGTTACGTTCTTGAAAATCCCTCAGTAAAATTCTGTAGCAGTGTTTCCAACTATTACAAACACAACCAGACTTCATGCCAATCATGGGAATCATGGGTAATTCTGTCAAAGCTGGTACGGTTTCCTCTGCCTAATGCATATTAAAGATGGATTGCGTTCATACTTGTTCAAATTGACACCATGTGTTTCCAAAGTTCCTCAGAATGTGGCTTTAGTTACCAGATCTAAAGACTCTCTGACAAACTCTCATACTGTAAGACGTGGTACAGTTTCAGAGGCGCACAGAGAACACGTGACAACTGTTAGCGGAACATACGCTGGCCCTCGGCGCCACCTGCCCCGCTGCCAGGCCTGGACTGGTCCAGGAAAGAGAAGGTGATATTTCCACTGTGAAATCAGATCCAGGGGAGGGATAGCATGGCCTGGTAACAGCTGAACAACACACAGGCGACAGCAGACACAACAGCCGAGCCCATCTGCCTCCCACCAGTCAGTCAGTCAGTCAGTCTACATGGACAGTACTGTACTACACTGCAGGAGCTGCACGACCAATCAGATGATGAGGAACTCTTGGAATTAAAAAAAGAAAATGTTCTGTTTCAGAAATACGATCAGTAAAAAACAGGAGGACTTT